ACGATTATTCGTATTTTGTTTCGAACTAAAATTGCAAAAAAAAAAAAAAAATGAATTCATTTTCTGAGGTATCATCGTTCCTATATAAAATAAATTTGCGTCTGTTTTGCTTGAAAAATTGCCATCAGAAAAATTTAGAAACAACAGTTTAAGGAACTTTATTAATCCTTGAAATTTAATTCTGCATTCCAAAATTCATAATGAATTACAGTATTTCAAAGTATGCTCGGTGGAACAACGAAAAATATTCTTCGTTGAGAATTGCTCTCACGTCTGCGTAAATGCAACAAGCGTGAAATACAAAATTGCGAAAAATTCAAATGTAACTACATTCATCTTTCTGTCTAATCTGGAAATATGATATGAGCGGCAGATATGTACAACGTTTCTGCACTTATATATATTTCAATATCGTTACGTTCTAAGAATATTAAGATAAGAAATGTTTAAACCCAACCTTTCGAATCGCAATTCGATATCATAAATTCAATAACCAAAATATTGATATTCACTTCTCCTTTTTTTTTTCACAATTCCAGACGCGTCGAATATCAACAACGCTCGATTTTTTTAAACTAAACGTTCCAACCAATGTCGAACGTTCTTTTCACCGACGCATTCTCTCGATCCCTACTTCTTTCCATTCAACGAATCCTCCTCCAATTCGCCTCTTTTTTTAATTAAATCCCAAGCGAATCCTCGGTTGGCATCCCCCAACGATAAGTCCACCGGGATTGCAGGATCGCGGTTATATACACACGTAGGTGGATCACTTCGAAAATCTCGAAATCCGGAAAATTAGGGCCACGTGACGTGCTAACTTCCCGAGGCGCTTCCGGGTCGAGCGTCTCGAGCGTTTCGGCGACACCTCGAGGAGAAAATCCTCGAGTCAGCGATATGTAAAGCTGTGCGTTTTTCCCTCCCCCTCCCCTTCTTCTTCTTCTTCCTTTTTTCTTCTTTTTTTTTTTTTTTCTTTTTCCACCTTTTTCCCCTTTCTGGGCGGGCGATGTTTGCACAGCTTCTCGTGGCGTTTCGGCGCTGTTTGCGGACGCCGGGGGGGTTGCGCCTCGTCGATTATACACGGCGACGACGAATTTAGAGGATCCAGAGTTACGCCGTTTTCGTGACGTCTAATTACGGCTCAACCCACGCGAACACGCCCAAGAAACAACGGAATAATTGACGATCCCTTTTGAGAATGAACGGGGTGAATGAGAAATGGAGGAGAGGTGAGATAGAAAATAGTAAGATCGTAGAATTTGGAAGAAATTGAATTGAGTTGTTTCAACTGTGAGCAATTTTTTGGAATTTTTTTTTTTTTAGAAATTGCGGATTAAAATTTTTGAGAAGATTTTCAATGAAATAGAATAGGAAAGAATTTTTTATTCTTATGTATTAAAAATATAATATAATTGTAATTTTTAATGGCAATTTACCTTGACTTTTCACATAAGATTCAAAATATAAATATAATTTACAATATAAATACAATTTGCGCATTAAAATTATGGATTTATTGTGATTTCAATTTTTGGAAAGTTAGATACGTAAAATTTTCTGATAGTCTTTGTTATAATAATAGTAATAAAATTTTACTTGCAAAATAATTATCAATCATTACTAATTCAAAATTCCTTAGAAAATACAAATTCAATATTATAATTTCATCATCAGCGAAGTTAATTATTACAACGACGTTTATCTTACCTTTAAAATTCCTCTTTTGCATTGTTTACACATGATTTATAATTTGCATTTGCAATATATCGCAATACATTTGTGCAAAAACCAAAGAAGAGTTGCTAGTTTTTTTTTTTTTTTTTTTTTTTAATCAATTTAACCAGCATCAGTGACAGCTGATTATGGCTTCTCTCTAAAGATCGAGAGAATAAACTACCAACCCTGTTCAAGACTCATATATCACTGTCGTCTCCTAGTTCATCCACGAGGCTATCTCGAAATCCCTGAACAATCTAGGCCCTCTCTTTTCTTCTTACATGTATTTGCAATGGCATCACGCGTGTCACACTTCCGGCCTCAAGATTATTGCGCGAAATAGAAAACTCGACGAGGGAAAATTCCGTGTTCAAGGGAAGATTTACGTTATTTCATCGGTATATAGTAACTGTTCGATATTGTTCGACGTTGAATTATTCATGAGTAAAGAGTTCTTTATTAGATGGCCGGATGCTGCGGTGTTTCTGCAATACAGAATTTAATTTGCTTTCAGAATTTCATAATCTGTAGGAAGAGATTTTGTTTGAAATTGAAGATTGAAAAAGATTACAGGTATTGAGATAAACTATGTACAATAAACTATTTATTGTTATTTGGAATGAATATAAGCGAAAAAATAAATTTGAATAAAATAAATAATACTTTGGTAATGAAACATTTTTTTTTTCTTAGAAGAAAATATAACATTTTATATTGAAAATTTTGTAATATAAATGTTAGGAAAATTTAATTTCATTAATTTTCTTCTCAACGTTCTCTAATATCATGAATTTTTCAATGCAAGAGAAATGAAAGAATATTTTCTATGAAACGTTTTTGAATATTTTATTTTAACGAACAGACGCTTTTTAGGAAACTGAAGCTCGTCAATCTAATTGAATAAATTTCATTAAGAAAATTATCTTTTCGAACTTCATCTCAAGTAAATTGAAGTAAGGAATTGATGCCAAGGTGATTTAACTTTTAAATGTTTCGAGAAAGAAGCATCATATTCGATGAATAAGAATAAGAAAGACGATGAAAAAGATTTTGATAATCTCGATTAATTTCACACACACACACGCACACAAAGAAATAACTCACACTATAAACTTTCGCATAAAAATCTAACGACAGATTCAAAATTTAATAACAATCGCAATTCAATCGAACGGATAAGAGTTTCGAAAGTCATCGAAAAGACAAAAGAAAAGAACGTGTGTTCAACTTCGATGATCCCTTTCCAATCTTGAGCATTCCCCGGAAGAAGAGGGGGCCGATAGATTCGTGTCATGAATTTGTAAGGCTGTTTGCCCCTGCGTAATTGCTCAACTTTCGAGGCGAAGGCCCGTCCTTCGAACTTTCTCGATTCGTAAATCACCGTGGCCATGAAACACGCCCTCTTGAAAAAATTCGCCCTTCTTCGTCTTCATTCGTTCACTCGCCCCATTCCTTCGTCCCTCTGTTTTATTTTTTTTATTTTTCCTTGAGAAGGAACAGAGAATGAAACGATGAACGAAAAGAAAAATCGAATGAAATAACGTCGCGAAATAATGTTTCAGATGTTTTGGAAACAATTGACCGAACAGGAAAACAAAGCGCGAGTTCGTGCGCGATCTAATATTAGGGAATTAAAAGAGGTGAAGAGAGTGAAATTTACTGGAGCGAATTAGCCGGTCGTGTGCTTGCTTACAAATGGACTTCTTGCACGGTGAGAAAGCGGCTCGTTTAGCGAGCTGTTTGCTAGAGAGGTTTCAAAGTAACTTTCCTCCGGCTCCGATAAGAAAAATTGGGATGTGTGTGCGCGTGTAACAAAGTTTGGCGAGGATAGAAGTGGAGATTGAGTTTAAAGCTGGGAATGGTTAATTAGGGAAAAGTATATATGTATAATATACGTCATTAGTCAAAAGTTTTTGGAAATTTTCCTCTTCATATATATATATAGGAAAACTCTAAACTTTCTTTGCAAAAAAAAACTTCATTACGAAGGTTTTGTTAACGAATTATTAATAAAAAAAAAACACTAACCAATCGCGGAGAAATGGAATTTATAATCAAAATGAATAATCTCAAATTGTGATATGAGAAGATAAATATAAAACATTTCTAATAAATGATATAGGGATGAGGGGAGAGGAGGAGAAATTATCAAGATTTTAAATTAAATATATATAAGTATAAATATTATATAAGATTGGTTTTCATCAAAGAAAAATATACTACAAGCAGAAAATGTTTTAAATTAAATAATCTTATCTTGAAGAAAAATTCTCTCAAAGACTTTGTACGATATGTATACGTTTTACGAGAAGAAGAGAAGAGCGAAAAAATGATTTCAAGGATTTGATATTTCTATTATTAACAACGCTTTATATTTTATTATTTCGTTGCCTCTCAAATCATAAAATATTTTCCATTATATTAACGTGCCGCAGATATATTTTACGTATAACATAAAATTTTCCGTTGATTTTGCCGGCAGGAAAATTCAAGGACAGCACGAACAACTCGACAAGGAATATAGAATCCACGCTGCCGGTGTTCTCTTATGCAACTCGAGGGGTTCCGGGAAGGTAAGCGTTTTGTCATTATTCTTTCCTCCCTTGGCCGTGATTTACCGAAGATAAATAGCCTCCCTCGATCATCTCAACGCGATCTATTATTTGTTAGAGCGTAAAGCGCTAAGGCCACCCGCCCTTCCGCTATTTTAACACTCGATTCTTCCTTGAATAAATTCGATCGATCGATCGAACCCTCTCCCTGCAACGAGAGGCCAACGAGAAATACCTTATTACGTGGCTTTTTAAGAAATTGGATATTCCTTGGCTTTTTAAATATTGTCGCATTGATTTATATATTTTGATAATATTTTTGATATTTATAAATTATCGATAAATCGTGTTATCGATAATTTTCTTTTTAAATTTTGATTAGTCTTGAAGTTTTATCATATATAGATAAATTTTCTTTATTATTCGTGAAAGAGCAAGAATCGTTTTTTTATGGTTTTATATTCGTATCTTCTTTCGTTGAATTTTAAAAATGTAATCTGAAAAGTGATTGAACGCTATTATCTTGCGAAAATGCCAAATATAAATATGGTATTATTTTATTCGCGTTTACTAATCGTTAAAATTTTTTAGGATAAATAATTTTTTTTTTAAACAAATACTCGAAAAAATTTTCGACGACTTGCAGCAATGAAATATTTTATGAAATAAATTTGTATTCACGATGAAAATATTATTCGAATTTGTGTAAAAAAAAGGAGCTCGAGCTCGAAAAAAGTTGTCACATCTTTGAGCAGACAAATGACACTTACTTTCAGTCTCTATATATTATATTCGAGAAGAATGGAAATTTCCAGGGAAATCAAAGGGGTTGGTTTTATCTCTTTTTAATGTCACGTTACCTATCAACCTAACACACATTCAATTTTCTCCCTTTTCGCATACAATAATCCTTCTTTGCCCTGATAAACGAAAGATCCTCTAATATATCTTCACATTTCGTAATACGATTCACAATTTGCTCAAATGTCAAAATTATTCTCTATTTTAAGAAATATAAAAATTAAAAACCTTACCATTAATTTATTTTTAAAACGTTTAAAATAATATTATTCACGACTTCCACATAATCCTTTATCAATACGTAAAAAAAAAAATCTCATTAAATCATATCACTAAAACTTATTTCATAAATTTTCAAGGGAATCACTCTTGCAAACACAATTTTTCAATTCTGACGTTCCAACACAAATTTCGTCTATTTCTAAAATTACTCCCGTCATCCGTTGCTCTGACTTTATCGTCCCTTTTCTCATCATCATTCCTCCATCGATCATCCGTTCCATCCGGCGGGATACAAGAAGAATCGAATCGTTTGCTCACCAAAGTTCACCAAAAATGAATCGAACGATCGAAAAGATCCGCTCCGCAGTTTCATTCTCGGGGAGAGAACATCGGGTAACGATGGAAAGAAAAGAACGAGGATAACTTCGGAGCACCACCTCGGGATCCATCCTCTTCGACGACGTTTCATCGTCGAGCCTTCAGAATAATAGATATTCGATTCCTGCGTGTCGTCTCGCTTCTCACCTCTCTCTCGCCAGTTTCATCTTTCCTTCACGTCCTCCAGTGTCCTCCGAGTGTGTCCTCAAATGTCCTCGCCCAACGAAAGTTTGGATTATCGCGCTTTGTCGAAGATCTGGAAGCAGCCGGCTCTGGAAGCAGTCGGAATGACACTTCGAAGCAATCGAGAATCGAGCCGGTGAATCTTGGAGAGGGGTGGCGGCGAACTTGTGAGTTTAACCTCGATGAAGGAACCGTGGTCACAGTGACGGAAGAACAGTGGAAGCGACGATAAAGCGGACAGCTCGAAGCAACTCAGGAAACAGGAAGTTCGGTGCTGTTGTTATAGTAATTGAAAGATTAGAAGATTTTTAAATAGGATTCTTAGGGTTAATCGATGTGTAATTGGTTTTGATTATTTCGTTATTGGATCTGGTTGAATTAAATTAACTTAATTTTCGATTGTGATGGATGTTTCATTGTCGGGATGGATGATTATATTTTGGATTTTGCCAATAAAACCTATTTTTTATTGTTGATTTTACGTGATTTCGTATGGAGAGATTTATTTATTTATTTTTTTTGATTCTTCATAATCTGATTTCGTCGTAATGGATGTAATCCAGTTTTCAATTTTTTTTTTTGTTTATACACGTCATCTGGTCAATTTTCTACAGTTTTCACAAAATTTCACGAGACCGAAATGTCCCTGTTTAAAATAAATAAAACTCTATTTCGATTCGTAATTCTGTGAAAATAATGGAACAAACTGTCTACTTTTTCGATATTTGCAAAATCCAGGATTACGTTCTATTCGGGCTGTTGATAAATAAACTCTCTCGATTGGGATAATTTGATATTCGCGTTATTTCGATTTTTCATAAAATTTCGAGCTTTTTTTTTTATGTAACATCTATGCTTCTCTCTTCGACACGATTTAAAAAATTTATCGACAAAGCATCTCGTGTAAAGTCGGCAAGGTGCAAGAGGGCATTTAAGTCTGTCACGGGCAGTAAGCTCGGCGCAAAGATTCAACGCACAGCGGGCAATTTAGCGATAAGATGAAATATGAATTCAAGATACCAAGGCTCGGGGCGTTTTCTCTCCGCTTTTTCGCGTCAAACTGTGCACATAGCCAGTTCCTTTTAATTTCTTCCGTGCTTCTTTCTCATTTCAAAGAAGAACTAATTTCTGCAAAGTTGCACCCTGCCTTACGGGGAACGATTTTGAGGGATGTCTGGTGATACAATTTCACCTCGAGGACCGAGGTGAAATTGACTTCATTCAATTTCGCCGTATTTTTCTTCCCTTCCATATCCTTCAATATCAAAATTGTACGGAATTAACACGTTTAAGAGTTGATAATTAACAAATTCTAATTTTGTTTATACAAACAATCGCGTGGAAGTAACAGTTGCTGTATTAAAATTAAATAAATTCGTTTGATGAATTCTTCTTTGTAATAATCTTCCACAAAGAAATATTTTCCTACTTCTAAATTATTTTTATTCCGTGCAAGAAAGAAAAGAGAACGTGAAAAAAATACTACAAGGAATTATACACACAGAAGCTAATTACACCTATCCGTTTCACGTTTTGGAAATCGTCTTAATCCCTAACATACTCCAAAGTCTGAGCGCAACTTCCGCCCACGAGACTTGACTCCGTAACGCGTCTAACGACCATTCCCACAATACTCGGATCTTAAATTTCGCGGAGGGCGGTGATATCCCGGTATGAAACGCGAGAAATGAGAAAGCGAAACGTCGTGGAAAGTGAGTAAGGGAAAACAATGACGTTATACAGGGTGCTCTCTTGCTTTCCTGACCAAAAGTGTAGAAATCTAAAAGTGAAAATTGATGAAAAGAAATATTGTGTGAATTCGATAGAAAGCAAAAAGTAAGTAATAAAAAAAGGAAAAGAAGAAGAAAATATAACAGATTATACGAAATAATCATGTTGTATCTTTTCTTGCTTTCATTTCAGAGAGAAAAAGTAACGAATCAATTTATTTCTTTCTAATTTTTCACCTCTATTACTACTTTCTTTCCAATAAAAATAATCTAAATTTCTCTGATTATCCCTAATACTTATATATAATATAATAAGAAACTTTAACCACTTTTTACTTCATAAATAAATCAAATATCATCGTTACTTTTCCCGTAAAATGAATATTTTTTGCATGAGAGTACAATCATACACCTTATTTCTTTTAAATACCACCACTACTTTTCTCCTCCATAAAGTGAATATTTCTGAGCCAATCTTGATTGCGTTTCTACACACAATTTAACCGGAAAACAAAGGGACACCTTGTATACGGGAGCCGCGTATCGGAGGAATGAGTTGGGGTAAGGATAATGGGCCACGGGGGACAAAGGGGTGGCGGAGGAGAAGGGGAAATAATATGAAATCCGAGGCTAGATGAGAGAAATAAGAAGAGCACGGCCTGGAAACGGAAGGATGGAGGAAAATACGCGAGGACCAGATGACGAAGCGCAAAAACGAACGAGGAAATTACGAACGAAGGAGAAGATGGCGGACGACAATGCGAGAAAAGAAGGAGGAGAAAGAAGAAGAAGATATGGGGGACGAGGAAGGAACGAAATATGAAAGGCACGCGAGGGTTGAAGAGTATCGAATATGCGCGCCAATTCGAGGTTTCCGGTGCGTTGCTGACGATGGAGGGGAATGATGATGAAGGAAAGGTGAAGGAAACTTGGAAGGGATGAGAGGTGACGAGGTTGGAAATTAAAAGAAGGGACAGTTGGTGATGGCATTTCTTGAAGAGAAGAATTTGAGCGAAGAAGAGTTTATGAGATGCATGAATTAAAATAAAATGTAAATTATACTTTTATGGAAGTTAAAAATTAATTTATATATTTTTTTTTGAAGGGAACGAGCGAAGAAAACTATTAAGATACTATTCATTATAAGGATTAATGTAAAATTGATTAATCATAGATTCGCTTAAAAAATTGCGATCTCTTGCTTCCTCTCGTATCATTAAATATAAATTGGAGTATTCAGCAAATACGGAATGAAACGAGGGAGCAAAAATCCACTAGAAGAAAAAGAAGTATCGAGCCGAAAGGGAAACAGATCGGATGAACGAATAAACCAAATAACGACTTCCGTATCGATTTACAATTTTTTCCATTTTCCTTTACCTTTCTTCCTTCCTTCTTCTCCACCGTTCCTCCCGTTTTTTTAGACTTCTTGTTCGATCTTTCCTCCCTTTTCATTCCTTCCACGTTCGACAAACGAGGTTGGGATGCATTAGTGGTGTCCAATTACAGAGCCGCAATGCACCCTGCCTCAGACACGTTATTTCCACGAAGACGCGAACACCGTTGAAAAAGAAAGTAGAAACTAAACTAAAATTCTTTCCCCTCCTTTTTTTTTGGAGAAAAATTTATTAAATTTGAAAGTTTTAAAATTCAAATAACAATCCATTCGTTGATTTTTAACTTTGAACTTTGTCACAAGAATTACTTTAAACGTTTAACGTTTAAAGGAAAGAAAATTTGGAAGAAAGAAATATAAGAAAGTAAAATTTAACCGTAACATCGAAAAGATTTTATTTAAAATAAATAATGTTCAAAAAAATTTACTCCAAGTTTATTCTTTTCATCTTCCTCTTTCATCGTCTTCTTAATTAATTGAAAAATAATCGACAAAAGAAAAAATCAAATATTTCCAAATTTCATTCCATTCGAAATCAATCGAAATTTATTATACGAGAAACGAGCTCCATGAGCAGAGCATCGTTAATCGAGAATTGAAATCGGATAATCCGGTGTCCCGGAAACAACGTAAACCCTCCGTCGTCGGTATTACAACGAACGTTCACGTGTCACTATCTATTCGTTGTTTTACCACGACAGTTACGCCGCGCCGTATCGTTCGGTTAACGAGTTGCGATCGAATTTGCGACAATATCGGTAAATTATTATTCAAAACGTAACGAATCGCCAGGTGAATCAATCGATGAACGGTCAGGGCCGATATGTTTGCTTCGAGAAAAGTTGAAACGGCCTCAGTTTGTACACAGAACGAACATTTTTCGTTTCGTCACCGATTGAAATTGGCGAAAAATTGATTTTTCGAACGTGATTTATCAAAGTTTGGAAATAATGTATCGTAGAAAAGTTGGGGAACAATGATATATGAGTTGAAGTAATTTTGAAACGTTACTAAAAATCAATTTAATGGACGAAGGAAAATTGTAAAGAACGAATTTTTCTCGCGTGAGAAAAGAGAGAGAAAAATTGACGTTTGTTTAAGTTTTCCTTTTCAAATATTGAGATATTTAATTAATAATAATACGTCAACGATACGAGGAAAGAATATGTATATATTTTTAGGTATTTTCAAAGTAAAGTGTACATGCAGTGACAATGCAATCCCCTGTATCATTTTCAAAATGACACCGTAGAGATAAACATTTCACTGAACATTTCAGACACGTTTCTAGTATGCTCTCTACTCCAACAACTGAACAGAACTCGACTATGTTGCACTCGTAAACCCAACTGTGCTTTTTTCTATGAATAAACAAACTTACATTTTTGAAACATGGACATAAGCATAAAATTTTGATCAATAGTTTTCGATATTTTTCTTTTTAATTTTTTGCTATTCCATTTCATTGATTTATATCTTATTTTTTTCTGTAAAAATATTTTAAGATTAAATATTTCAATTTTATACATATATTTTGTGTTATGTGATATATTAATAGAGAATTAATTAATATATTCAATGTAGGAACAAAATAAGATTTAATTTAATTTCTTTTTTGAAATTGAAATTTGATTTCATTTTCTGAATTTTAATATGTCGCATATGAACCACTTGC